AATTTGAAAATGATCTTGTATCATTTGCTAAACTATGAACTCTAAGGAATCAACTCATTGATTAGAAGCCATGAAGGATGAGTTGGAATCCATGGAAAGCATTGAGGTTTGGGTACCTAGAAKAATCGATCCAATAAGTTGTAAATGGGTTTTTAAAACCAAAAAGGACTTTAAGGGGAGTATTGAGAAATATAAAGCCACTCATTGCAAAAGGATACACTTAGGAAAGAATAAACTATATAAAGACCTCTCCTATCTCAAAGGACTCATTTACAATAGTCATGGCTCTAGTTTCTTATTTTAATCTGGAACTTTATTAGGCAAATGTCAAGATCTTGGTGAAGTAGTCATTGCATCTTGCTTTGCATTTCTCAATGAAATAGGTCCTCCTTCCTTGTATATCTCGACATCCAATAAATTCAAAATCTGTATACCCTATTACCTCCAACTCTTCTATGCACTTATAAGTGAGTATATAATCTTTAGTCCCTTGCAAATAGTGCATGACTTTCTTGGCTACTTTTTAATGGTCCATACTATGTGCAAATTAATCTAATAAAGTTTACCACACAACATATCACATCCAACTTTAATGGAACCATGGATTAGAGTATAACTTTTGTTCTTAAATTATAATTCAAAACTAGAGGAATCAAGTTTAGGAAGTGAAATTTGATATTTAAATTGAGATGATGTCCCCCTATGATTTCAACATCTACCTCTACTATGGTGCATTCTCTCTTATGCAGTCATCGGATTGTTAGAAAGCCTTGCACAAAAACCATGACATGAGTTGTAACRCTTGTCTCCACCCACCACTTATCAGGAAGTGAGATTGGATTTAGAAATCATGAAGGAAAAACCCTTACTTTTATTGTTGATCCATACTGCATATTTAGGGCATTCCTTCTTTACGTGTTCCTTCTCTTTACAGAAGAAGCAATGTGCCATGTGATCCTCACCTTCTACAACTATGGTCGTTTCCTTATCCTTCCTTTGACTTTTTTTTTGAAGTGTCTTATGTGGCCCAATAGTAAGATAGACACTTCAAGTATGAACGCACAGTAATAATCAACTCACTCATCTTCCATTTCTCTTTCTATGTAGTGTAGTTGATCTTGAATAGACCAAACTATATAGAAGAGAAGTCATAATGAAATGCACATGGAATCCTTTAGATATTTCCATATCCATTCCTTTCAGTTGATTTTCCAATGTCGCTCATTTTCATGACGTGGTCACATACCCCACCACAACCATCATACTTCATAGTCATCATTTTGATCACAAGGGTATTTGCCAGTGTTTTGGTGGATCTAGCAAAATATTCTTCTACTACCTTTAAATAATCAATTGCATGATCATCAAACTCATGCAAATTTGAGCATTCCCACTTTTCATGAAGCGCTTTTTATTCACTAGTACCAATACTAGTGACTTCAGTTGGTTAGCCCCAATCGCAAGGTCTAGATCCATGGACCTAAGAACAACTATGATCTATTCCTACTATTTGTTAAAGTTTACCAGACAATTAACCAGTAACCATTGCTAGATTAACAATTAACCAGTAACCATAGCTAGATTAACAATTGCAAATTTCATAATAATAAGTGTACAAATATGTCATGCCAAAAGTGCATAAAAATGCACACATATCAATAAATTAACATAAAATTGGGGTAACTAGCAGTTAAGTCTCATCAAGACCATTATATAATATAATCCTGATTAGGTCCTAAATCAAGATTGATGTAATATATTATTGTTCTTGTTATCCAATACACCCATCACCTTTTAATCTTTCCATCCCACTCTAACCATTTAAAGTATATGACTTATTCATGAAGGAGAACCACATAGTAATACTCCAAATAAAGACAATATAAGTCTAATACATGTACCAGAATCATCATCATGTGCCTTTTTTAGCAAGTAAACAGCAGGTATTACAAAACTGATAAATATTTGGGCAAAACTACAAAAATTAGCAGAACAACCATTGAATTGGATTAAATTATGCATATATAAGTTATTTTAGAATATATTTTATACACATGTGGAAAATAGGGTCCTTTATGAGCCCTCCAAATTTCAGCCTAATCTGAGGTTGAAAACTCCCTGAACCGGCCTCCTAAACTTGTTAGTATGATAATGAACCAATGTATTAGTCATAGAACTGGTCCGATATMTCCACATCCAAAGGGACTTTTCCTCTAAAAATTTATATATAAAAGGCTTACTATGGGCCTACAAGATTTCATCCAAACGGGGTTGGACATCCCCTTGAACCAGCTCCACAAATATGACCTTATCATAATCTGTCATCAATTTGAACCAGACCACCCCAAACCGATTCGAACAGCATAGATTCAAGCCAGACAAATTCGAACTGAATCAAGTCAACTAAAACCGAATTGATACGGATTATTTGGGTCGAACCGAGTCAAGCTGGACCGAATCAGGTTAGGGAAATCCAAACCTTAATTTAAATGGGTCGGGTCGGGTATCCATAGGACCTGACCCTTGAAAGGTCATCTYCTTTGCCCGTTTTTGGGTGCTATAGTGTTCACTCGATGGAGCGAACACAACAGCATTGGAGGGGTGTTGACAGTGCGATCAGCCACCAGAAAATGGTTCCTCTATCGCTGCCGACCACCTAGGGATTGTTCTCTCCTCTGGTAAGAAATCAGCATAAACTGGCAATTTACAGGTCTGAATCTTTCTAGAAACAGAGAAGAAAATATCAAATTTTCAATTGTTTCAGTGCATAGAACCTCTTAGATACCAATGGTATGCCTTTATGTAAACTTCTAAACACATTAGAAGTATGAAAGGATCAATCTATACTCTAAAATGAWGTGAAATAACCATGGATTGACCTTGAGCAATTGAAGCCAATGCAGCATCCATGGCCCCTATTTGAGATGTCAGAGCTTGGAAATCACTTCTCCCTTTCTCTCTCTCTCTCTCTCTCTTACTCTTCTTCACCTAAAACCGAACTGGAGAGCTTTTCTCTCAACAGAACAACAAAAAACCAGAAAATAGAACTTCTCTTCGGAGTTGGTTGTCTCTTGCTCGATGGAAGAACTGGGAGTGTGTGGCTCTATTTATAGAGCTTTGTAACCACCTAAGAGGGGCTTTCCTTCATGGTTAAGCATCTGAAAACCAGAGGCTCCATCAACCTCTATTTTTCCAAATCCAGGAGCTTGTTTACTGTACCAATGGCTCTCAACTACCTCAATGCCCTCTCTCTCTCTCAGGGGAGTCTCAGGTTGGTTTTTCATAACCATTTTGCCATCCATGATGCCAGCCGGAGTCCTAGTCAGCAACTGGGCTTGAATGATTTATCTCGAACCACTGTTAAGCTCAAGAACAGTATGAGCTAGCTCTAACATATATATGATTTCTTTCAGAACAAACAARCATTCTTGGCAATATGAACTGCAATACCCAGACTGCACTAGAGCCCACTCATTAATTTCTAAGCAATTATTATTCAATACTGTTTTATCAGTTGACTGCAGAGGTTCTATCAGCAACTGGAGACGTTCTAGCAACATCTAGTCAGCCATGCATGTTGCGTTTTAGAAGCCCCCCAGTTCGACTGATGCGTACATTTGTTATGGGCATACCCCTCACACTGGGGATTTCAGGTGAGACGCAGAAGATCACAGTAGATGTACTGAAACACATGGAGGGAAAACCAAGGACGGAGGCAATCAGAATAAGATTAAAACCAAGAGCTGGAATCACTTCTCTCCCAGAACTGTATGAAGCTGAGATCCTCGTAAATTCCAAGCTTCCTTGGAGAAAAGAATTCGTGTACAATTGGAAATGGACATTTTACGTCTGGGCTTCCTTGTACGTTTATATAATGCTTCTTGTAGTTCTTGCCTGTTGGTATAAACCATTTCTCTTCCCAACTGTAGCAACAGGTGTAGCTGGTCGAGATCAAAGAAGTTGGTCCTTGGAAACAGAAAAGCATCCACAATCTAGAGACAGACGGGACGGGGAGATCTCAGACACGTTGAGGAAATGGCAACCAATCAGAAGCAAGAGAAAGTCATTGCTTCCACATGGTGTGGTCTCGCCGGAAAATGCTGCAGCTGGGTCCTCGACAACTAGCTTTACTGTTAACCCAGAAGAAGCGTGCGAAGTTGTCGAAGATTCTGGTGGGTTTGGGGACTCTGAATCTGTATCATAGGTGGTTGATGAGCTGATTAAGAACTGTCAGTTGATGTTGCAAAACATTGTAACTGCTACCACGTAATTCTGTAAGAGGAGTTCGCTGTTAGTACTTAGGACTTGATGAACTGYTAGTTGTCTGTTTTGCTAGCTTAGGAATATGAGAATCCAGTCCAGTTGATCATTTATGCATCTCGACTATAATTGCCTRGGAATCGGTTTTGGTTACTGCTCTAAACTGATAATATGATATCTAAACGTGTCTAGCTATTTAAATATAAGTAGTTTTTTTTGTCAAATTACAATCGGGTCTTATCAGGTCGAACCCGATAAGAATCTGGTTGAAAGTAGATTGGAACCATTGGCAGCACTAGTTTGCAGCTAAGTGCATGGCGATGGCAGTTAAAACTAAAGAGCACCAAGAATATTTGGGCGCAAAATGAATTGGCCMTTGGACTTGTACTGAATTTATAATAGAGGAGTTTTACATGAAAGGAAATTCTTTCTTAGATAGAGTCCTAGAGAGATAACAACCAACAAAGTTCATCTCATTAGGATAACAATTATCCTAAATCTCTAATGATAATTATTATCCTAAGATGGAGTCCTATCCTAATTGAAATACATAACAGGATATACTCTAATACGCCCCCTCAAGCTCCATGATCACCGGCAAGAGGTTTGATGAGAATATTAGCAACCTGATCCTTGCAAGAGATAAAACGGACGCTTGAGGCATCGTGCAAGAACAAGATCCCAGAGAAAATGAAAGTCAACTTCAACATAACAAGTCTGAGCACAGAACGCAGGGTTGGCAACAAGAAGGAGAGATGTAATCTAAAGAATTTCAATTGCTGATGTGGCACAAGCATGAAATTCAGACTCAATGTTGCTGTAGCTTGTTTGCGAGAGCTCCAAGCAATTAAATTCGGACCTAAATAGATAGCAAAGCCTCTGATAGATCTATCATCTAGACAACCTGCCCAGTCAACATCTGAATAAGCATGAAGAGAAAGAGAAGTAGATGATGCCCGTGAGAGGTTCAGACCATGCATAATAGTATGCTTAAGGTAACGCAAGATGTGTTTCACGGCTGCCCAGTGTTCATTAGTAGGAGACTGAAGAAACTAAGAGACTTTTCTTATTGCAAATGAGATGTCCGAATGGGTGATCGCCACATACTGAAGAGCACCAACAATACTTCTATWTTCCGTAGGATCATCAAGAGGACAACCACCATACTGAGTGATCTTAGGATGAACTRTCATAGGAGAAGAAATGGGCTTTGCAGCTTCCATGTGAGCTTGAYGTAGTAGATTTGTGATGTACTAACGTTGACTGAGGACCCTATGAGGATGCCAAATAAGYTGAATACCGAGGAAGAATGCAGCAAGACCCAAATCTTTAAGAGAGAAATGGCGAGAGATCTCCTAAATGCAGYTATGGATAGCACTTTGGGAGTTCTCAATAAGTAAAATATCATCCACATATAGAAGAAGATAAAAAGTAACAGTCTTGGAGCAKAACACAAATAAAGAAGTATCAGCTGTAAAGGCTCTAAAACCCATTTGTGTTAACTAGTGAGTGAGCTTGTCGAATCCCACAGAAAGGCATTATCAAAATCAATCTGATGAATAGACCATTGATTTAACAAGCAAGAGAGAGAATGGTA